TTAATAAATGTTCTGAGCTACCATTGCATGCTTGAGTAGGTGAGGACATTACACTATTCAAAACCCATAGATGTTTCCAAATTCTAAAGTGGAGGGATTGGTGTCAAAACACAGCATATGTTTAGCACAAACTGCCACAGGTAGGTCAATGGATTCACTATGAAGAAGAATTGCTCAATGCTGATGAACTCAAAATCACACCAATATGCTCCTATCATTTCCTAAAAGTATCATGTGGCCATCCTCACACTGGCATGTAAACTTGTTCCAGCCAGATGAGTTGGGTGAGGTGGAACACCAACTTATCTGAGTCAACAAGTGTTAACTTTGTTCTGGAGGGGAAGAGGATGATCATAAGTTCCCTGAAACTATATGCATGATCATTTACACTTTCCTAAACCTGACTGCACTTATAAGTAGTGCTACTTAAGTATTTTGTTTCCAGAGTTCTCATACGGAAAATCCTACATGGCCCCTATCAACCATTAAAGTCATTATAACAGGACTTGGTCAGAGCCTGCTATAAAACTGGTGTCCCAACAGTGATAGTGACAAAACGATGTCCATTCAAAAATGCAGCTGTAGTCTTTATTGCTGGGTTGATATTTGTTAATATGAAGACTGGGACCATTATCCATCAGAAGGAAGGAAGAGAGAAAGAGAGAGGAAGGGAGAAAGGGAGCAGGACAGAGTGGGAGAGAAAAAGTTGTTTTCTATCAGTTGTTTTCTATCTAAACTATTTTTTGAAGTTTCGTTTACATTTATGGAAAAGGTGATGTTGCCCATTAAGACATGTGCTTTTTTCCCTAAACAGCTCATAAATTTCCATCTGTCAAAAAATGTCATTTGACTTCAGTAAGCTAAAAACCGTCAGGAAACAAAGGGTACATAAGCTGAATGGTAACAATGTCAGACCTGTTTGGTAATATGTTGTCCATCTAAATGCAGTGACTTTATTCTGCTGCAGATTTCCCAACCCCAACTATTCTGCTGTTTTTCCTACTATAACATACAGTCACGTATCTCTTCAACATGTATGTGCAGAATATGCCTGAAGAAAGAAATTCCAATGTTAAATGTTTTACTATTGCTTCCTGTTTGTCAAATCTCCCTGCTGTCACCACGGGTTTTGTTTTTGTTTTCTGTTTTTTAGTCTTCTTGTAAGATGGAACAAGTTATAAACCAACAGGATTTCTTACATTTAATATGGTATATGACTTCATGCATTTCTCTAAAATGTAGTTCCCATACTTTGAATTTAACACAAGCTCTAAAATCACAGGTACCACCTCTGGCAATAATAATATTTCAGCTTTATCCAGGGCTTCCTAAGTTCCAGGTACTGGTCTAAGTTTTACGAGTGAGTCGAATCCTCACAACAACATTATGTAGGAGGTGCTCTTTCTGTCCGTATTTTACAGAAGAGGCCCAGAGAGGTTAACGAGCCCAAGATGCCTCAGTTAGGAAATGAGCACGGCAGCATTTGAACTGAGGCAGCCTGACTGCAAAGCCCTCGCTCTGAAGGGTGGTGTTATCCTGCACCGCAGCAATGCTTTGGAACATTTAAGAAAGGCCTTGTCTTCCTCAGAGTTGATGCCAGAGAACAGGGAGACCTATGATATACACAAATCCTACTTCCTGGTTTGGTCTTTTTCAACAAGTCAGCTAACAAGGCCCTTCGCTCACCAGATTAGAAGTAAATAGTCTGGAGCAAGGCATTTTACACCTACATAATAAAGCAAGGACATGTGATTGCCTCCTCCCCCGCATCGGGTTTCTGCTACTGCCGCCCATTTGTCAAGCGCACTGCTTTCACTATGAAATATTTTCCTTTCCTTTGCTGGCCCACAAAGTTCACTGAGAGGCTGAGATTACTGCTATTTACAATGTAGATAGTCAACATCATTTCCTATATTTACTATGGTTTATGAGTTCACACAAACATCTGCAATGTGTTAATGAGTTTCAGGGTTCAGAGTAACATTTTTGAGAAAATAGATTTCTTAATCCCCTTTTAATCAAGGTATTGACCTTCTCCAAGAAAAGAGTTGTATTACCTGATTCCATATCATCTTCCTATTTGCTCTCCCTTATCTCAGAACTCCTTTTTTTGTTCCATTTCATTCTTCCTTCCTTTAACCTCCTTTTCCCTTACATATTCATTTTAAGAATTCTTTTTTTTTTTTTTTAGATTTTATTTATTTATTTATTTGAGACAGAGAGAATGAGAGAGAGAGAGCATGAGAGGGGGGAGGGTCAGAGGCAGAAGCAGGCTCCCTGCCGAGCAGGGAGCCTGATGCAGGACTCGATCCCGGGACTCCAGGATCATGACCTGAGCCGAAGGCAGTTGCTTAACCAGCTGAGCCACCCAGGCGCCCCATTTTAAGAATTCTTGATCTAGAAATGATACCAACTCCCTTCTATTAAAAAAAAAAAAAGGAAACTGTGTGTGTTCACAAAATAAAGAAGACGTGGTTGGAGGCAAAGCACAGATTCATGCTCTACTAGCTAAAAGTTCTCCAGAGTCCTCAGCCCCAGAAGACCCTGAGCAATCTCTGATCCTTGAAACACAGAAAGCAGTAGTGGTAAAGGAACAGCTGTTCATTGTTTGTTTGAAACTCCCTGAAGATGATGTCAAGGAGTGAGAAATATGGGTCCTTGATTTCCGGATATTCTCCTAAAAACGCCCATGTTCCCAAAATCTACCTGGAAAACTAGAAACCATTTCAAGTATGTAACAGAAAGAGTTTAACTCAGGGAATTGGTACATTGGAAGATGGAGGACTTGAGAAACCGAATAGGCTCCATGAGACAACATCAGCTAGCCACCGCCCTCCCTAGACCAGGGGAGGGAAAGGGAATGGCAGAGCACAGGGCCTGGGGGCACCAGGTGAAAGCTGGGGTCCTGGGGAAGGCACAGGCATTGTCAGAGAGGCTGCCGGATGCAGACAGAGAATGGGAGAAAACCAATCAACCAACCAACCCTGGCTTTTCCCTTCTTCCTGCCTGTCTCTATCCTGTCACTGCCATCCATTGACTAAAACTAGCCAAAGGTGAGCTGACATGAGGGCTTGGTAATGCAGCCTACAGGGCCATTCCCTCTGATCTACAGCCAGGAAGGAGGACATGAGGACTGGATCTGACAGCAGTCAGGCCTTGGACGGCACGCTCCAATTCTCTCTTCCACTTTTCTGTGGCTACACAGTCATCCTTCCCCGACCAGAGGGCTGTTACTCAATCTAAAAATACGGAACTTTAGAACTCATGCAGTAACTAACTAGTCAGCCATCCAACTATGTTACATCACTGGGATAAACTTCAGGGAATAATGTACTTAAAACAGCAAAAAAAAAAAAATCTACCAAATCAACGTACAAAGGACTTGACACAAAGCTCTATCTCTGGGATGTTTATTAAAATTTAGTTGCAGATTATTTCCTTATTGAGTTTTGCTTTTCTGTTTTCCTGGAATATAGTCATAAAGTCAAATTTAGCAAACTTATATTGGTAAATCACATTCTGCAAAATTATATTACTTCTTTATACTTCCACAGAGATATTTCAGTGACTATTTCAGAAGAATAAAAATGATGATGAAGACTCAAAGAAAACAAAACCCTTTAAAACTATTTTTTTAATTTCTCAATTTTCAAAAATATTCTTGTCATAAGCACCCATTATAGTGTATAATTTTAAAAGCCTTAAGGTGTGTTAAAACCATCCAAAAAATACTAAATTTTGAGAGTTAAGAGACACAACATATTGATCTGCCTTTATCAGATTTGGTGTATTCTTACCTTTAGTAATCTCCCCCCACCCTGACCCACCCCCCCCCCGGGAAATATCCTGTAACAAGTATCAGTCAAAAAAGGCTCTGAGTTTCTTGAGGGCGAGAATGGAAGCTTGTTTGATTTTGTGTCCCCACTAGCAGGTGCAGCGTCTCATACCTAGCAGGGGTTCATAAATGTTTGTTTAAAGGATTAGTCCTTGGCTCAGAAAGAGAAGAATAAGGAGCTTGGGGTATCAGAGACACTAATGAAGTAGGGAGTGATCCTTTTAAAATTCTATTTTACTATGTAATCCTTCTGCTCAAGAACCTACACTGCTTTTTTCATTGCCCATAGGATAGAGTTCCAGATAGAATACAGGACATCCAGTTAAATGTGAATTTCAGATAAACAATGAGCAATTTTGTAGTGTATGTCCAAATATTGTACATATAAAAATATGTGCATATTTGAGACTTATACTAAAACACTCTTCATTATGTATCTGAAATTCAAATTTAATTGGGCATCCTATATTTTCATTTGCTAGATCTGGCAACCCTACCATAGGATTAAATACAAATTTCTATTTTATCAAGGTTTAAAAATGGCTTAATCACCAGAAATATTTAGTAGAGATGGCTACCCAATGCAGTTAGCCAGGCATCACCAAAGGAACAAATACTCATAATTCTTATAAGTAGTTTTTTAAATTTTTAAAGTAATTTTTCTGAGCAAAAAAGATTAGTTTTGAAGTAAATAAATAATCCAATAAATAAATAGGAAAAAAAACTTTGATGTTCAGAACTATTTTGAATCCTGATCCTGCAATTAAGTTACCATATACCGTTGGAAAGCCGGTTATCCACTTCAACTTTATGAAATGATTCTACTTACTTTCCTGTCATGTTGAGAAGAAAACAAAGAACTAGATTAAACTATAAAAGTTCCTTTATATCCATTTCTTCTCATTTCTCCACAGAAGTAATCACTGTTAACTGCTATAGTTTGAACGTTTGTGTCCCTTCAAAATTCATGTGTTGAAACAAAATCCCCAAAGTTATGGCATTAGGAGTTAGGGCCTTTGGGGAGGTGCTTAGGTCATAAGGGTGGAGCCCTCATGAATGGGATTAGTGCCTTTGTAAGAGATCCCAGAGAGCTCCCTCACCCCTGTCACCATGTGAGGACATAGCAAGAAAATGGCTGTGTGTGAAATAGAAAGTGGGTGCTCACCGGACATCAGATTTGCCAATGCCTTGATCTTGGACTTCCCAGCAACCAGAACTGTGAGAAATAAATATTTGTTATTCATGGAGTGTGCTTGTTGTGACAAGCACAAAGTATTGTATGTAAGTGTTGAATCACTAAACTGTATACCCAAAACTAATATTACAGTGTATGTTAACAAACTGGAATTTAAATTAAAACTTTAAAAAAATATTTATCACTCATAAACCGTCCATCCACTCTATGGTATTCTATTACAGCAGCCTGAACGGATAAAGACACTAACCACTTGATTTGTATCATTCCTATCATTTTGTATGCATTTATACACACATATATATGCACATGCTATTTCTTATTTACAAAATGAATCATATTTCACCTATTACACTGAGACTTTCATTTTCATTTAGTCTTGGATGTCTACACACACTTTTATTTGTTTAATTTCACTAAATAGGTAATACACACGCATATTGTAGCAGGCAGACTCTAAAATGTACCTGCTATGATCTCCAACTCCTGATACTCATGCCCTTGTGTAATATCCTCCCTTGAACTGTGGGATGGCCTAAAGACTTGTTCTAACAAACAGAATAGGACAAAAGTGATATGATGTCACTTTCATGATGAGGTTACATAAAATTTGACTTCCATTTTGCTAGCAGACTTTTATTGCCTTTTCGGCTTTCTGGCTTTGATGAAGCTAGCTGTCATGTTGGAGAGGAACTGGGGAGCCCTCCAGCCAACAAACAACTAGGAACTGAGGTTCTCAGCCCAACGGTCCTCAAGGAACTGAATCCTGACAATAACCATGTAGCTTGGAAGCAGATTCTTCCCCAATCAAGCCTTTAGGGGAGACTCCAGCCTTGGCCAACACCTCACTTACAGCTGTATGAAGATTCTGATGCAGAGGACCCAGCCAACCATGCCTGGATCCCTGACCCACAGAAACTCTGAGTCAACAAATGTGTGTTGTTTTAGGCTGCTAAAGTTTTTGGTAACCCTGCTCTACAGTAATAGATAACAAATGCATACATGATGCAAAATTTAAAAGCCAATAAATTTAAGTCTCCTTCCCATCCTTATCTCTAGCCAATCAGATCCCTTTCCCAGAGGAAAACAGTGTTACAAGTATCAATTAAGATCATCAATCTCAAAGCACTTTAAATGCTTAAAAGATATAAATAAAAGGTATTAGTATCACTATTCATACTAAAATTCCCAGATTTACAAATGACTCCTCAAAAGATCTTTGAGGAAGGTGAGAACAATAGGAATAATTAGAGAATTCTCTCACAGGGGACTAAATGGAATACTGTTCATCACACCGCAAAAATGACTTGATATAGCCAGAAATGACAGAGTGGGAACTAGGGTGAGAGTCTGACTCATATGCTTGAGTTAAAGAATAGACCAAAATAAGAAAGATCTTTCATCTGGAACAGGTGTGGGCCCTTTTCTGTAAATGGGCCAAATAATAAATATTCTAGGCTCTTCAGGCTATATGGTCTCTGACCCAGCAACTCAACTCTAGTGTTGTAGCACTATATAAATAAATGGGCAAGGCCATGTTCTTTTTTTTTTTTTTTTTAAGATTTTATTTATTTATTTGACAGAGAGAGAGAGAGCAAAAGCAAGGAGAGGAGCAGGCAGAGGAAGAGGGGGGTAGGGAGAAGCAGGCTCCCTACGGAGCAGGGAGCCCGATGTGGAGCTCGATGTGGAGCTCCATCCCAGGACCCTGGGATCATGACCTGAGCTGAAGGCAGACGCTAAACTGACTGAGCCACCCAGGCGCCCCAAGGCCATGTTCTAATAAGACTTTATTTACAAAAATAAACTTTGGATGGGTTTGGTCCAAGAGCTTACTGACCCCTTGTCTAGAAAATTAAAACAAAGGATATCCAAGACAGCAGTTTGGCACTCGATTAAAAGACCCAAGAAGAAATCCCCTAGCTCATAATGCCAATTCCGGTGCTGCTTTCTGAATACACTGATTTGACTACTATTGAAGACATTGATTTTTTTTATTATGTTATGTTAATCACCATACATTACATCATTAGTTTTTGATGTAGTGTTCCATGATTCATTGTTTGCATATAACACCCAGTGCTCCATGCAGAACGTGCCCTCTTTCATATCCATCACCAGGCTAACATCCTGAAGACACTGATTTTTATTTGAACCAAAACTTCTGCTCTGATCTCCAGTCTTACTGATTTTCTGCCCTGAGTTGCCTTAGAGCTAAAATAAAACCCAGTTCAAGAACACCCCTCCTTTTCTCCATGCCTGTCTTCTTACTATCTCTCCTCCAGGTTCTTGGGACATTCTAGAACTAAAACAATAGTACCAAATTGGGAAATGTCATCCTTAATAGCCAACCAGAAACATACAATTTATATTTTTAATTATATTGACTGAAATTAATGTTTTTAAGCATTTGATACTAAATTATGTTGTTTCAAAGCAACTAAATTAACATTTATAAGCCAATGTATAGAAGTAGGCATTTTATAGTTTATTCTAAATTTATCCCAACACTTAATAAATTTTATTGATTTCTTAGCATTCTTCCCCAAGTGTCTCAACTATTTATTATATACCTTTGTGTTTCATGGATTTTTGTTAAAAAAACAAACAAAACAAAGAAAAAACCTCAAATCTTTGTGTGAGAAAAAGATCTACATACAGCTAGCCATGTGTTCACACATACCTGGCATGATGGGGTAAAAGTTTAACAGATTTTATGTCCCAGTTCTTATCCGGCCCCCATGGATAAAACTTGGGATAGAAGATAGAACCCCAAGAAAGAAATCAATTGTCCAATTTTATACAAATACTATGAAAATAAAATGTTTTAGGAAAATTAACTTCCTGTGTATGGGATTCTTATCCTTCTTCTTAAAAAGAAAAATAAAACATTTTTCAGTAATTTACACTCCCAAACAGTTAGATTGGGAGATTTAAATGAAAGTTTGTCAGTTTTATCCTTCTAAATTCAGACTACCATCACCTCTGAGATACAAATTTCATTCTTAAAAGACCAACCTTGATGAAGCAAGATGTGTTTGAAACCTTACTAGAGGTTAAGACACTGCAATTTTACTTGTGTCTGAACCAACTCCACATGAACAAAAATAAAATGAAACCCCAGTCTGAGATGCTTTGCCACGGTCTAAAAGCAGAAAAAGGTCCCTTGCCTGACCCCAGCCTCCACTTCCTCCCCAACCCAGACGAGTGGGTGGACCAGCTCTGCTGATATGTGATACGTGACCTCTTTACTTCACTAAGAACTCTGCTCACCCCCTGGCCAAGCTACGACCCACAGACCAAAAGACCACCACAGGTTGGGGAAAGTGAAATATACAGGATTTCACTGATAGTGAAATATGCAAGACAGGGTCAAAACTCCAGCTCCCCACCATAAACAGTTTGTAATGTAATCTACCTTTCCTCTGATTATGGTCATCTCCATATTAGGAACCATGGTAGAAAGCTTAAAAATTCTTCAAGTGCCTCAGAATTTACCATCCTCAACATCTGAGCTGGTAAAAGTCACCTGAGAGTAAAATTAATCTATAAACACATTCCTTCCACGAAACAAAAGTCATCCAAAACCTGCAGAGAACATGACTTTAAGTATTCAGATGTAACAAGATAGGTTGATTTTAACTTTATCTCTACCTTCCCCTGTCTGGCCCCTGGTGAAAGGCAAAAGGTGCCCCAAAAACCAAGTGGCCTAATTAAGAGATAAAGTAAATGATGCTGTGTGAATAATGAGAAGTTGCAAGATGCGTTTATTATTTATTGGGAGATGGCTTAGCCTCTCTCTTCTCAGAGGCAAGCTAATTTGACAATATTTAGTGGAGTTTGTAGTAGAGTCAAGATAAAGTCAGGCTCCCTGATTTCCAGCATTAGACACTGTCCACAAAAACCTGTACCAAGGTTAATTCTCTTCCGGTAAAAGTGAGAAAAACAAAAACAGAGGACCAAGAGTAACCTGCTATCCTAAGTATTTAAAATACCTACTGCTACTCCTTTTGGAATTAAATGAGATGATACACCATCTCCTTTTGGAGTTAAATGAGTCACATACTTATTGTATAAAACAATCAACTACAATTTTAACATATTAGTAATTTCACATGGACTAATTCAGGGTTTTAGGAATGAGGAAGCAAAAATGAATAGAAAATTCTCTATCTAGGTAGAAACTATAATACAGAAATTTTAAGTTATGGGACCATAATGTAAATCCAGTCTCATGAGTTTAGAATCTGGAGCCTACTTGCTAACATTCAAAAATTATGGATTGAACATGTAATGTAATGTCAGGGGTTGCCTTCATTAAGGTAACAGCAGCTATTTTTTTTTTAAAGATTTTATTTATTTATTTGAGACAGAGAGAATGAGAGAGAAAGCACATGAGAGGGGGGAGGGTCAGAGGGAGAAGCAGGCTCCCCGCCGAGCAGGGAACCCGATGCGGGACTCGATCCAGGGACTCCAGGATCATGACCTGAGCCAAAGGCAGTCGCTTAACCGACTGAGCCACCCAGGCGCCCTAACAGCAGCTATTGTAAGAGCTATCATGGACTTGAAGCCACAGAGCACAGCTCTGGTTCATATAATATTCAATACCAGGGCTCCTAGTCAGCAGACAGCTCAAGCTCTCCTCCTTGGGACTTTGCCCTCCAAAAATGCTTCATAGTCCTCTTCATTCAGCCAACGGATGAGAAATAAGACTATGGAGGAGGGGGCGCCTGGGTGGCTCAGTCGGTTAAGCGACTGCCTAAGGCTCAGGTCATGATCCTGGAGTCCCGGGATCGAGTCCCTGGATCGAGTCCCTGGATCGAGTCCCGCATCGGGCTCCCTGCTCGGCAGGGAGTCTGCTTCTCCCTCTGACCCTCCCCCCTCTCATGTGCTCTCTCTCATTCTCTCTCTCTCAAATAAATAAATAAAATCTTAAAAAAAAAAAATGGGGGCGCCTGGGTGGCTCAGTTGGTTAAGCGACTGCCTAAGGCTCAGGTCATGATCCTGGAGTCCCTGGATCGAGTC